GAAGTAACACAACCTGATGTTTGCCTTGTCGCCTGCCTGCCAGCTTGTGGTTTTGGGGCTGGTTCAGCCTCCAGGCCGAAACTAATTCTTCGGGATTATGGCCATCGCATGCCGCTGAAGGCGGCCCCAGGCTCCTGCCAAATCGATCTTGAACCCAGCCGTGGTGACAAGATGTCATTCCGTCGCGAGGCATAAAGATGTTCGTTGGCTCTTCGACTACGATGCCAGGAGGAGGAGTCGCGTGGGCACGCGCGGCCCCATTTGCCCCATCCGCCTCGGGAGTCAAGAAAGCTGCGCAGGGCAAATATTCCATCCTCACTCCTCGGAGGGAGGGAAGGGAAAGCGAAGAGTGGGGAAGGCCAAGACAGACCAGGGACCTCCCTAAACTCGGCGGGGCTTCTGCTCACAATAGAATGTGCGCCGATTTCGAGAGGTTGGACACACGCCCCGTCTAAGAAACAAACCTTCACCCAAAGCTTCCAGGTTCGGATTCTACCTGGGGGCCTCACCAGAGAGAAGAGGGGCGGAGGAAAACCTGGGAACGAATAGAAAACGGGCGCTAAAAGTTCGGAAGCGGGGCGAGCGCGGGGCTTATTCGGCCCTGGGAACGATAGGGCCATTGTCTTTCCGTATCCGTTTTGCATCGTATGTTTGCCAATTCCAGCGCCGTGTCTTTCTGGTTCCGTCGCCGTTGTCGTTGCCGTTCCCTGTTTCCGTGTTCAAAAAAAACTTTTTTGGAGGCGGTGAAAAAAACGGCCCTGCCATATCTGGGGCCCACTAACACGCGGGGAAAGACGCCGCGGCCCGGGCCCTCAAGTCTTCCGCTTTGGGAATTATGCGAGGTAGTCGGCAACGTACATCTTCCACACGTGGAACTCGAACTTCAGCAGCAGCCGAGCATCGCGCGGAGGTCGCGCATCAAAGCGCTCGCGCAGCGGTCAGGCCAGAACAATGCGGCAAGTAAAAACCGATGTGCATTGGCCAGAACGCAACAGGAAAGCAATAGTGAGAAAAGCTTCAGAGACAGGACGAGTAGGAATAGAGGACCAAGCGACAGGTTACCCCATCGCGAGCTCCACCAGCCCTGGTCATCGTGCCAGTCGCATCCCTAGTTCCACGATCCTCTACAGGGCGTTTTTGTTCTTGTTATCCTGTCACCCTCTCTCTCTCTCTCTTTTCAACGCTTCCCGGAAGCGGCCGCGGGCTGCGAGCGAGAAAGGGATCGCCAGGCGCCGATCGGGGGCGCGCGGGCGGCGCGCGCGTCAGCCGCGCGACGCACCCGCCCCCGACCTCCCGCGCCGCCCTCACCCCCGTCGACAAAAGAAACGGAGGAAGAGGCTGACAGGGCAAGGACGGGCAGGGCGGAAAGAGAGACACCACACGGTTTTTACCGCGCGCGGGACAGCTGCCCAGAGCTGCCCCGATGAACTGCCGCGGCACCGGGAAACTGGCGGCAAGACAGGCTCCCGCATTTCGCTGCCACTCGGCGGCGGGGACACGTTCCCATCGGACAGCTTGGCTTGATTGGCTTCCCTGGGCGGCTTTATTTGCCGGTCGACACTTTTGCCCGGCCCCCCGTTCGGGTCGCGGAGGGGAATTGGCTTCTTGTTCTTCTTATCCGACAAATGTTTAGCAATCCCCCCACCACTTCGGGCTTAGTAAATTGTTGCGTCATCATATCAGCACGCTGCGCGGTCGTTCTGCAGCGTCGCCTTCTGCATCGTTCTAGCCTTTTGGTTCCGACCAACGTTCGAGGCAAATGCCGCGCGTGCATGGCAAGTGCCGTGAAGTACTGGTTCTACCCTTCAGAAGCATCTTGTTCACTGCCTCGATGTCCTCGGCAATGAGCAGCTCGGCCCTGCGGCGGCCAGCATCTCTTCAGCGACCTCTGCCGGCGCATGCAGCGACTGATCCCAGGGGAGGACGGCCTTCGCTTCACCATGCGTCTGTTGCCCCCGCGGCAGGCTACCATCGCGCAACCTGGGCGCGCTGGTTACGAGACCTACAGCGGGGAAGAGCGCCTCGCAGACGTCATTCCAAAAGCGCAGCATCGGTAATGACTCGACCCTTAAACCAACGTCGAGCAAAACGATTTCACGTTCGTTTCAAGAGTGAGAGGCGCCAGTCTGTTCATTGTAGGGACCGTTGATCGGGAAGCAAGTTCTATGACCAACTAAGGCTTTGTACCCTCCTGTTTTGGACAGGTTTTCTTGCGCGCAATGCTCAAATGAACCATCCGCGCACTGTCCGACTATTCGAAATCTCGGATCATCGCCTACACACCCCTCCAAACTAGAATCGCGATGGTGGTTCAGGTAGGCGACAAGTCTCTGTGACTGTCGGTCACAAACCCACTTGAATGTTGCCAACGGACGAGCCAACATACACGCAAAGTACAGAAAGCCGACAGTAGAACATCAAGCGAGTTCCAGGATCTGCATCAAGACACTCGCAGCATGCCGAAAGTCACACTCACCTTGGAGCTTGAGTACAAAGTGTAGAGAGGTTCCATACATAATCCGATGTCTTCGTTAGTGGTAATCACCACCTCAAAACCATATCCAACCATGAAAAGGCCGCGCCGAACCGAGAACCGAGAACCGTGACCGAACCGGACCGAACTGGTCCAAAACCAGGAACGTAGAAAACCGAACCGGACCGAACCGAATTCATTCAGAACCGAACCGGCGAGAGCCGAACCGAACCAGAACCGGAACCGAACCGGAACCGGGCGGCCCCTGAACCGAACCAACGGGAACCGAACCGAACCCATTTCCCCTCCGGTCTGGACCCCGGGACCCCGATGACCCCCAGGACTCTGGGACCCCGATGGCCCCAGAATCTCCCGAAGATTCCCACGACCCCGATGACCCCCAGGACCCCAGGACCCCCCTGGACCCCCTGGACCCCGGGACCCCAGGACCCCAGGACCCAAGGACCCAAGGACCCCCGGGACCCCATGGACCCCAGGGCCCAGGACCCCGGACCCCCAGACCCCGGGACCCCAGGACCCAAGGACCCCCCTCGCGGGTGCGACCCTTCTCGCGGGTGCGACCCCCCCCCGGGGCTGCGACCCCCCTCGCGGGTGCGACCCCCCTCGCGGGTGCGACCCCCCTCGCGGGTGCGACCCCCCTCGCGGGTGCGACCCCCCTCGGGGCTGCGACCCCTCTCGCGGGTGCGACCCCCCTCGGGGCTGCGACCCCCCTCGGGGCTGCGACCCCCCTCGGGGCGACGGCGACGGCAGCGGCGCAGGGAGGGGAAGAGCAGGGAAGAGCAGGGGAAGAGCAGGTTGAGGGACCCCCCCACTGGGGGGGGACAGGACGGCCGCGACAGAGGGATCGAAGAGCAGCAGCGCGCGGCAGAGGCAGCGTCGACGTCGACGTTTTTTTCCCGAGGGGGGGCCCAAGGGGGCCCCGGGAACTGAAGTCCGGGGGAGCCCGCGGCTGAGGCCCCAAAGGGGGCCCCGGAAACGCCGGTCCGGAACGTCGACGACGACGACGACGACGACGACGACGACGACGACGACGACGACGACGACGACGACGACGACGACGACGACGACGACGACGGGGCCGCGGTGGCGGCTGCGCCGAGCAGCGAGGCACCTCGCCAGGCACGTCGCTGGAGGGCCTCGCGCCTCCACGCCTCCACGTTCCTCCTTTTCCTCCTTTTCCTCCTCGTCGTCCTCCTCCTCCCTCCTCCGCCTCCGCCTCCGCCTCCTCCTCCTCCTCCTCCTCCTCCTCCTCCTCCTCCTCCTCCTCCTCCTCCTCCTCCTCCTCCTCCTCCCCCATCCTCCCTCCCTTTTTTCCAACCTGGGTCGTCGCTTACGCAGACGGGGCGCCCAACGTCGCACCTGACCAGTCGGGCCGAACCGAACCGGAGCGGCCACTCGAACCGAACCGAACCAAACAGACCCAACCGCGCGAAAACCGGAACCGAACCGAACCGGCGGCAGGCCCAAGCCGAACCGGTCGAAACCGGACCGATGCCAACCGAACCGGCCAAGCAAAACCGACCCGGCTGCAGAACCGGACCGAACCGAACCGAGCCGATCCCTTCATGTCCAACGGAGTGTCCGAGAGGTTCCGGCGGATCCCAACTTGACGCCAGCATTAGCGATGCTATCCCAACCTTTTCTAGGATATCTCTGTTCTTCCAGCCATTTCGAAAATCGCAGGTGCAAATGGACAGGATCAGGCCGAGCTTCGCCCGACGATAGGTAGACCCCCATAATTCAGACAGTCCCCAGCCTGCAGCGAACAAAGTGCTTGGGCAATGACGTTCCCGAAAGACACCCATGGGTGGCCATGCAGAACAAGACGCAACTGAACGACAGGGCGTCGGTATCCATTCACCTTCCAATCTTCTGGCCGACGCCCCCTGGGAAGTCAATACATGTGCCGACGTTGTCGATGGGGACATCTCAGCACAGGAGGGCCTATGCGTAGGCGCTGATGGCATGAGACTGCTGGCCCCATCGCTGGGTAGCCAGGCATCTGCGTCGCGCAGCTTGATGCTTTCCACGTGCGAGGCGCAGCTGAGGCCTCTTGGAAGAGTGCAGCCCGTCCCGTTTCGCCCTTCGCGCTGTTCCCTTGGAAGACGACCCGACCATTGAACTCCGATTTTCCAAACGCGCTAACTCGGAATTTTCATCAACAACGAAGTCAAGGAGGTGACCAGTGTGGGCCGCATTTTCCAATGTCGTGTTTCGCGCACAACGTCGTCGTATTCGCGAACCGAAGAGTAGCGCGAACCACGCTGGTTGATCAACTCAGCCCATTCAACATCCAGAGCCTTGAAGACAGATGACGAGACTGACGTGCTACGCGCGCGTACTCGGCATCGGCCGCAATCACAGCATTGACAAAAATGAGCTCGCGGCGTCCCTGGGCGGCCGCCTGCGACCCTGCGACGGCCATCCTTCAGGTATAGCCTAACTGCCAAACTTAGCGGACGCACGACGTCGCCTGGCAGCCGACGGACCAGGCCCCCAGCCTGATGACAGGGGCAAAGCCCGCCAGTGCATGCGGCATTCGACCTTTCGATCTAAGCCAGACGGGGGTAGGCGGGATGGCGTGGGACACTGCACGGCGTGTGATGGAGAATATCTCTTGCAGGGACTGTGGGAAGCCGCCGCTGCCCGCGCTGCCGCCGCCACACCGACGTACTCTCCTCACGCTCGGGGGTGCGAGGGGGGGATTGTGGGACGACGATGATGTGCTCAGGGCCTCTGCTGACTGGCCACCTGACCACGTCGTGGCGGGGGGAGTGCACGACCGCACACGACCTCGTTTTCGGACAGAGCCCCACGCCCCTTGAATGCACTGCCACTGCTTGTGCGTCACCAGACGGGGCTGTATTTCACAATGCCGACGGAATTGCAGACACCCTTGTCGCTGAAGCATTCGGCGGGGAGGCTCTCTGGGTCTCTGGGCTGTGGTACCAGGGCCCACGCCCAGCGAGTTTTCGCAGCTGCGAGGACCGCCTACCCTGGCGAGGCAGTCAAGGGTGTCCCTGGGGACTCGCGCGTCGCAGGGACCTGTGGCGGCCTTGCCCTGGCTGCTCATGAATTCGTGAATTCGCTGCATGTCGTTTGTCCCTCTGCTTTTGGCACGGGCTCGATCTAAGCCCCAGCGAGCGAGCGAGGAGAGCGAGGCGGAGGAGGAGGAGGGATGAGGAGGACGAATAGGAGGGGGGGAGGAGGAAATGGGAGAAGGAGGAGGAGGAGGACCTGGAGGAGGAGGAGGAGCACGACGAGGAGGAGGAGGAGGAGGAGGAGGAGGAGGAGGAGGAGGAGGAGGAGGAGGAGATAGAAGAAGGGTAGGATAATGAGGAGAAGGAAGGGAGGATAATGAGGAGGAAGGAGGAGATGGAAGAGGTGGAGGAATAGGGCGAGGAGGACGAGGAAGGGAGGAGGCAGGGGGGGAAGAGGAGGGCGACGGGGCGAAACAGCCGATCCCACTGCCCCGACAGCTGGCCCCGCCCGTGTGTGCTGGTCCCGCCTGGGAACCACCAGTGCCGGAAAGGCGGAGGGGGATGGGGAGGCGATGGGGCGGGGGACGAAGAGGGCGACGGGGCACTGCAGATGCACACCGAGCCAGGGGGGTGCAGGCTCCTTGGCGTCGTCGCTCCCGATCCTCGCCTGGGCCTTGACGCCCAGATCCTCGGCGCCCAGCCCCCTGCCTCACCCCTTTTCCGAGAGAGCGCGTTTCACGGGCGCTTGCCTTGGGAACATTCGGCGGCGCGTTTCGAATCGGGCGGGGGACCCCCCCCAACATTCGGCGCCGTCGATCAGAACCACGGGGACTCCCCTCCCCCCTAACCCCCCCCCCGACACACACACACACACACACACACGGCGCCGGCGCCAACGCCGGCGCTGGCGCTGGCGCTGGCGTCGGCCGGCAGCGCCGACGGCGGGATCGCAGGCACGATCACCAGATAGGGCCCGGAGGCCGCAGATGGGAAACACAAATCGCCATATCAAGCCCTCGCCCCCCAAAAGCCACCGTGAGGCCACTAGGAAGGTGCAAGAGACGCCCAAGAGGCGCCCAAGAGGCTTCACAAATGCTCCCCGGACGCCCCAGAGACCCCTCTGACGAGACCCCAAGATGCGTCCATTAGCACTCTGACCCAAAGCCAAGGCACGTTGGCGGGAAGACCCGAAGGCCACACCACAACCAACACCAACACCACCGCCACAAACCACCACAGCCACCACCACCACCACCGCCACCATCACCAGCACCACCACCACCACTATAACCCACCACCGCCACCACCTCCACCACTACAAACCACCACACCATCACCACCACCACCTCCACAACCACCACCGCCAACACCACCACCACCACCCACCACCCACCACCCAACACCACCACCACCACAACCACCACCGCAAACCACAACGCCACCACCACCAATACCACAACCACCACCACCACCACCCACCCGCACCACCACCACAAACCACCACACAACCACCACCACCACAGCCACCACCACCACCCCCCACCACCTCAACAACTCACCACCACCACCCCCACAACAACAACCCACAACCACTACCACCACCACCACAATCAACCACACCACCACCACCGCCACAACCACCACCAACACCACTACCACCACGACAACCCACCACACCCACCACACCGACCACCACCACAACCAGAACACCAATACCACCACCACCACCACCACAATCCAGCACACAACCACCACCACCACCACCACCACAAACCACGACACCACAACCACCACAACTAAAACCGCCACCACCACCACCACAACCTACCACCACCACCACCAACCACCACAACCACCAACACCACCACCACCACAGCCACCACCACCACCACCCCCACAAACCAAGACACCACTACCACCACAACCACCACCACCGCCACCACCACCACCACATCACAACCACCACCACCACAAACCACCAAACCACCACCACAACCACTACCACCACCACAACCACCACGACAAACCACCGCACCACCACCGCCACCACCACCACCACCACAATCCACCACCATCACAACGACCAACACCACCACCACAAACCACCACACCACCACCACCACCGCCACCACTGCCATCACCACAACCTGCAACCACCACCGCCACCACTGCCACCACCGCCACCACCACCACCACCACCACCACCACCCACCAACACACCACCACCACCACCACCACCACTACCACCACCAACAACAACAACCATCACACCACCATGGGAAGGGGATTGGTTCGACCCCCCACCCCCCGGGTGACGGAAGAGGGGGGTCGCATGTAGGAACAAATCCCAACCGAAGAAGAGCAATTCCAAACGACAGGGACACTTCTCAACTTGCCAAAAACAAACCAAGCGATATCAAGTACAACCAGCCACTTCGGGCTTACAATCGGATTCCTCTTTTATGCAGTATTCTAAGACGATCCAAGCATCAAATGAAAGCCTCAAGGGCGCACATTAACTACGAAAGTCAACATGGGTGCCCCGGTTGGAATTGGTACCCGTTCATGTTTTTGTGATATGGGAGCTGCGTTGTTTTGCAACAACAACGCACAACAGCACGGATCACCTCACAACAACAGCATACACCCAGCACACAACATGCATTCACTACACATACCCACACACCTCCCACAACAACGCATTTCAAACACCCGAATTATCATTATCCTCGTTGTCATCGGCCGTTAGTTCACTCCTCCTTACTTGCCTATTCCTTCCTTTTTCTCCTCATCCTCTTCCTCTTCTTCCTCCTCGACCTCCTCATATCTTTCCTGCCGCATTCCTCGTATTCCTCAGATGTGTGTCCGTTTCCTGCTTGTCTATGATTCCTCTCCATCCTCCCCCTCCTCCTCCTCCTCCTCGTTGTCCTCGATGTCCTTTTCTGCCTTATCCGCCTCCTCCTCCTCCTCCTTTTCCTCCTCCTCCTCCTCATCATCATCATCCCCCTCCTTTTCCTCCTACTCTTCCTCTTTTTCCTACCCCCATGCTGGTCCCAGGTGGTCCAGCGTGGCTCAATACAGTTTCGGCATCGACTAAGATAGCTGATCATGGCCGAAGATTCTTCCCGACTGCCTCTAGCCGAGCAGGGCCGAGCAACGATGAAAAACGACTCGGCGGCGGCGGCGGGGAGAAAGGCGAGTCGATCGGCCACGCTCTCCCTCCCCGAAGGTTCGGGGGTCTCCCGAACCCCCGAGGGGAGGCGCTTCCATTGGAAGCGTCGACCTTGGAGCCACGAGAACCACGCGCCCGCAAGAAAGGAGGCGGGGGCCGAAAGACTCGGCGGCGGTGGCAGAAGGCAAAGTAAATGATTCGGCCACGCTCTCCCACCCATGGACTCGGGAGCCCCTAAGGCCCTCGAGGGCACGAAACGCTTCCATTGGAAGAGTCGCCCTCGGGGGCCCGGGAGAACCCCGCGCGCCCGCAGGAAAGGCAGCGGTGGCCGAACGACTCGGCGGCGGCGGCGCGGAGCAGGGCGACTCGGTCGGCCACCCACTCCCTCCCCGTGGGTTCAATCCCCCCGAACCCCCGAGGGCGCGAAACGCTTCCTTCGGAAAAGTCGCCCTCGGGTGTTTGTGAGACCCCGCGCCCGAGGCGGTGACCGAACGATTCGGCGGCGGCGGCGGCGCTGGGCCAAGTGACCGTTTGCCCCCCCCCTCTCCCACCCCCATGAGTTCGGGGGTCACCGACGGCCCAAAGGCGCGAGACGCTTCTTTTGAAAACGTCGCCCTCGGAAACCGGGAAACCCCGCGCCCGCGGGAGAGGAATCGGGCGCTTAGGCTCGGCAGCGGCGGCGGAAGGCAAACTGCATCATTCGGCCACGGTTCCCGAGCCCCCGAGGACACGAGGCGCTTCCATTGGAAGCGTCGCCCTCGGACCCAGGGGAACTCCCGCGCCCGCAGACTCGGTGGTGGCGGCGGAAGTCGAAATGTTCGGCTACCCTTTCCCCCCCCAATGGGTTCGGGGAAACCGGAGCACCCGAGGACATGAAACGCTCCATTGGAAGAGTCGCCCTCGGGGGCCCGGGGGACCCCGCGACCGCGGGAAAGGCCAGCGGAGCCGAACGACTCGGCGACGGCGGCGGCGGGGCACCCTCTCCCTCCTCATGGGTTCAGTCCCCCCAAACCCCCAAGGGCGCGAAGCGCTTCCATCGGAAGAGTCGCGATCGACTGTTTGGGAGACCCCGCGCCCATGCGAAAGGAGGTGGTGACCGAACGATTCGGCGGCGGCATTGCTGGGCCAAGTGGCCGCTCGCCCCCCCTCTCCCACACCCACGGGTTCGGGAACCTCCCCAAGGAACCCCCTAACGGGCCTCTAAGGAAACCTCTCTAAGTAGCCTCGAAGGAGCCTCCAAGGAGCCTACCAGGAACCTCTAAGGAGCCTCCAAAGAAATCTCTAAGAAACCTTTTAAGGAACCTCTAAAAAGCCTCGGAAGCCTCGAAGGGGCCCCTAAGGAGCCTCCAAGGAAACCTCTACGCAGCCACAAAGGAAACCTCAAGGGATCCTCCAAGGAGCCCCCCATGAAGCCTCCAAGGAGCCTATGAGGTCTAAGGCGCCTCCAAGAGGCTTGGAACCTCCAAAGAGCCTCCAAGGAGCCTCTAAGGAGCCTCCATTTGGAACCTCCAAGAAGCCTTCCAAAAACCTTTTGAACACCTTACAACTTGATTGCAATTGGTCCTAGCTGGTTGGGATTGGGACCGAAATGGTTGGAATCCGTCCCAGATGGTTGAAATTCGTATCAGTTTCGGGTCGACTCCCCCCATAACCCCACCTTTCAGTCCAGGGGGGGGGTCCGGTTCCGAACACGACCCCCCTCCAAGCGCCCACAAAACGCGGTTTTCCCCTTCTCCGCCTCCTCCTCCTCCCCCTGTTCTGTCCTCCCCGTTCCTCATCATCCTCGTCCTCCTCCCTTTCCTTTTCGTCATCCTCCCCCTCCTCCTCCTCCTCCCCGTCCTCCTCCTCGTCCTCCTCAACCTCCTCCTCCTCCTCCTCCTCCTTTTCCTCTTCCTTCTCGGGTTGATGGGCTCAAGATGGGGCAACACATTCCACCCATGAGCAGAAAGAGCCACAATGAGAAACGCCCGAAGGGTTAAAGCAGTGCCTATGGATAAGAAGGGAGGCCGAGAAGAGGGAGGACAGGAGGTAAGAGCGATAATAGGCGCCACCGAAAGTCTGGGTCTCTGCCCAAGCTCCAGGCTTCAAGGCGGACAGCTCCTGCCTAGAGTGATGTGGGGCGGGGGAAGGCCCGCAGTGCGCATGGCTGTGCTGCGCATTCGTCGACTCACCAAGAAATCTGACAACGGCTACAAAAGACAACGTTTTAACACGTTGTCAAATTGGTTCCCTTTGCGAAGACCCTGAAAAACGGCCGGTGCTTCTGAATCCCACCCAACCTCGCATCCCCCGCCACCCTTAGATATCACAGCTGCTTCACGTCCTGCATGCGAAGTTGAGAAGAAGGAGGCAAGAGACCCTCAACAGCTAGAGAAGCCCAGAAGGCCCCGATGAACGCACGCACCCACGCCCACACCCACACCGCCACACCACACACACACAGACACATACACACACACACACGAACACGAACACACACACACACACAAACACACATTAACACACATATACCCACATATACACACACGTACACACAGACACACACACACACACATACATACATACATCACACCCCACACCCACACCCACACGAATACTTGAAATGGACCCGACCGCTGCGCTGTTGAGGCGCATGCGGGGCTGATGGTAGAGGTGCGCCAGCTCCTGAATCGACGCCTGGATATCCCCCCCCGAGAACTTCGCGCGGTGCTCAGCCCAGAGCGAAGTGGCACCCCTTTGGCAACTAGGGATTATTTCCCGCCCCGTCTCCGATGGACCTGGACCCCCAAAATTGCCCTTCTCAAGAAGCCCTGCGCTAGCGTTCGGAGGTGGGGTGTGGGGAACAAGAAGGGGATGTGCGCGGAGGAGGTCTAGGGCGAGGTGTAAGCACATCACGCAAAATCCTGCTCACCTGCTGCCTACTTCCTTCAGTCCTTCAGGGGAGCATGCAACATGAGCCCACGAGTCGCACTCAATGCAATGAACATCCACCCTGCCCTTGCCGCGCCATGGGCCGCAAATTTTAGCAGGTGGCCTCGTGGGAACGGTAACCACTCGAAAAACAGCTGGTGCGTGCGAAAGTCCCCCGGCAGCGCGTGCAGACACCTCAAAAAGAATGAACGCTCATCGCCTTGACGCGCGTCTGCATCAGCACTGCAGGTGATTTCTGGGTGGGGCACGTCGAACTGGTCGGCGACTTGGGCGGCATGATCTGAATCGGAGTCCTGGGCGCCCATGTCAAAGTACTCCGTGCAATGGTTCTTCATGGCGACCCCGTGGTTCCCCGCCGCCTTGCCTTCGTCGCTGCCCTGACCAGTGCAGCGCGGAGGACGATTGCCCTCGCCGTCGAGATTGGACGTTGGCTGAACTGCACAACCTCTGCCCCCCCCCCGCCGGAAGCACTCCATCGAGACAGTATCCGAGAAATTTGCGGGGCGACAATCGAAATCGCCTGCCGCGAAAACTCCTGCCCGCCCCGGGTGCTCCCGGCCGGAAGTCTCACTCGGCTCCGCGCGCGCCAGGGAACTCGCGAGACCTTTCGGATGAGCACAGTGGCTCTGGGCGTCTGGAAAGGTGACCAGCATTGCTCATCATTGTATCCACGGCGTCCCCCTTGTCGACTCCGGCCATGCGATCGCTGCCTTCGGCCATGCCGCGCTCGAACAACGAAGGGGTCTGACTGAGAACACCCATTCGTAGATCGAAGAGGAAAGTTCTGATATCCAGAAGCTGCCTTTGTAGCTGTTGGAAGGCACGGCCGCGCGCCTGGTCCTTGCCCCAAGCAACCCCAGCAGAACTCCCGTCCGTGCTGCTTATGAAGATTGCGCAGTTAACTCCGACTTCGAAGGCCTGACGAGCGCTTCAAGGTCTCGTCGAACATGTGCGGATCAGGGTGGGCCTCCAAGCGACTGCCATCACGGGCCCTGCACCAGCGCTTGCCCACTTCTCCTTGGCCCCACGCTACAGGCCCTTTCTCACATCCTCAGTGGAAGAATTACGCTCCCGGCCAAGCGCCCCGCCTGCATTCTTGAGGGCGCCCTCCATGTGTCCGAGGACCGAGCCTTCAGTGCCAATACCATGTCCTTCCAGCTCCCTGATGAGGTCTGCAACCTCATGGGGGCTGGAAGCGCGAACGAGAAAATTGCCATGACGAACCGCGATGAACTGCATATTTCGACTTCGCGGCATCGCGGCTCCAGGCACGATGCACAGTTCCAAGCAAAAGAGCCCTAGCTCCTCAAGAGGGATGGGCACAACCGTGTAAGGATGCTCCTCCTAGGCGTCGCGCCATTCTCAGGGAACCGTTTTGGGATCCTTGAGAACAAGCGGACCCGAGGAGCCGACCTGGGGAAGCGACGCCGTCATGGCAGAGCCAGCCTGCCACAGACGCCTCAGAGCTCGCCGCGAAGGGGCGAAAAATACAGTCAGCGTCGCTCAGGCAACGCTGGTGGACCACAACGGACGTCACGCCTCCGCAGGCATGCTGCCCAAAGCCTACCGCAACATAGCGCCCAGGACGGCATGCAAGCGCTGTGGCAATTGGGACTTCGAAGACTGCCTACTAGCCGTGAACTGGCGATACACACGTGGAGCACACGACTCGACAACGGTTGTTACGACCTGGGACTGCCATCCTGGCGGGCAGCAGGCAGCCCAGAAAAGTGGTATTGTCAGAGCCTGGGAGGGAGTGTCAGGCAAGCTGGCGAACATGGCCCTGTACTCCGAAGTGGCCCATCAGCTCACCTCCGCGGTGAATGTTGTCTCCGATGCGTCCAAGCCCAAGGCACCGACCAAGAGCGCGCCAATGCGACTCGCGGAGGCCGCCCAGGAGCTGGAGCAGGCTAACAAGGCATGCGACAGGGCCTTCAACGCCCGCGACGACGCCACCCCCCCGCCTCGCCAATTGGGCTTGGACGTTTCGGGACGGGCCAGCGCAGTCGTCGCCGCAGAAAGGAAGGTGCGAGCCATACGCGACGAAGGCAAAAGTCCCCGATACTGCACGATCTCCCCCAGACACAACAGAATCGGCGGTGGACAAACCTCCGTTTCCTAAACCACCCTTTAGTGAAAACGGCCTAGGACCGAAGCCGACGGACCTGGAACCGCAAAAATGACGGCCGCGACGCCCTCTCGCGAACCGAAAACGGCCAATTCGCTAATCGACGTGTCGGGGCAGGAGGTCTACCAACCTCCGACAGAAGAAACGCTGCAGGCTCTAGATGCCTGCTGCGCCGTCGGCGCCGAGGAGCTCGACGCGGGGGCGGTCGTCTTTCTTGTTTCGGGGTGGGGCCAGCCGCCAAGGGGCAGGCGAGGCGGCCGACGAGGGGCAGCGGCAGGGGCCGGGGCCCCCAGGGGCGAGGCCGCCGAGGAGTTCGCCAAGCGGCGCCCCCTCGAGCAGGCGCCAGCCCAGCGGCGCGGCGCAGCCGCGCCCCCACCGTTGAGGGAGCAGAGGGGCCCAGTCGCGGCGGCGCGGCCACCAGGCGGACGACCAGGCAGATCCTCATCGGTGGCATCTCTCCCTGGGGGGGGGGGGGGGCACTGCTAGCACGTTCGTCGACGAGACACTGGCCTCGAGCTCGCACGACCTGCTACAGGAAACGCGCGTCCAACACGATATACTGACGACGGTGGAAAACGAGCTGTGCGCCTGGGGCCTCAGGCCTGACTTTATGGTCGCCCGCCAAGGCGAGACCAAGAAGGGCTGGAGAGGCGGAATATGCACTGCGACCCGATCGCGCAACGCATGTACAAAACAAAGAAGAAGTGGCTAAAACACGCTGCGACTCTTCCGCCAGAACCGTTGCGAACCCCGCAGACTCTCAGCCTAGTTCCAATCTGCTTATTGGACTGAATGCCGCTCACGTCGCATGCCAAGGAAGACAGCGTCACCCTGGTGAGTTTGTACGTGGAGGATACAAACTTCGAACTGACTTACGGGTAGCAGCGCTGCTTCCTCCCTGGGCCAATCCCCCCATGTCGCGTCGTCCTCCCTGACACCTCCCTCCTCTTGGCATGAAAGAAGCGGGTCTTGAGGCAAACGGATCCTGGACTCCAGGGCCCTCCCCAGGGACCAGGCCCCCATCCTGAGAGCGGTTTCGATAGTCCCCGAGAGAGTCCCAGGAGACCTACAGCTGCAAAATGCCTCTAGGACACGTTTCGCTCTCAAGACTCACCACCCCCTGTCCTCTGTGACGGCTCCCTCGCGTGCCGGCCCCGCCCCCCCCCCATCCTCGGATGCATCCCGCCGCGACGGCACGCCGTAGGCGTCCTCGTACAGCGGCGCCCGGGTCTGCTCGGCGAGCGGAGGCGGGTGCGGCGGCTCGGGCGCGAGATAAGGTTGTCTGGCGTGGACCCTGGCGGGCGGCAGCGGGCGCGGCGTGGTGCAGCGATTGGCGGCGGCGAGCGGCGGGTGGGCGGCGGCGGGCGCCGCGGCTGATGTCTGACGCGGACCCTGGCGAGCCCGGGCGGAAAGAAAGGGAGAGAGGCCTGTTCGACCTCCTCCTCCTCCTCCTCCTCTTCCTCCTCCTCTTCCTCCTCCTCCTCCTCCTCCTCCTCCCCTTCCTCCGCCGATGCAAATATTTGGCGTCCTAAACCCCCAGCACTCGGAATCGTGACCCTGTTGTTAGGGGAAGCGGTGATTGGCAGCAGTATGGTCCCAATAAGAGGCCATCAGGGGGCCCCACTCCAGGATGCCTCCAGACGCCCCGAACAGGCCCCGAAGAAACCACCAAACAAATATTAGAGAGGCCCCAAGAGCACCCATCAGGGAGGAGATTCTGCAAAAACTGAGGACGTGGAAGAGTTCGCAGGGGAGGGCGGGAACATGGGAACAAGAAGTATGAGGCGAAGGCTAAGAAAACTCCCACCAGCTTTTTAGGGCGTGAAGAAAACCCACGAGACCGTCAGCAGGCGTCGAGGAGGCCCCGGGCGCGCCCCAACAAGCCCAAAAGATCCATCCAGATGCCCTCAAAAAGTGACCAAGGAGCCCCAGAAACCCTCACAAGTGGGCATATTGGTTGTCCTGGTACACATCTTGCGCGTGCGTCAAGGATACCGCGCACCGCCAACTATGGTTTCATGTGACATCAAAGCTCCCCATCATCCACCTCCTGCTCCTCCTCCCCACCTCCTCCTCCTCCTCTTCCTCCTCCTCGTCGTCCTCCTCCTCCTCCTCATCATCATCATCCTTCCCTCTCCGCCTCCTTGCTGAATGATATATCTACGTCGCCCTCATTCGTGGTCTCAATGACGCCACGGTCAGCGCATTCGCCATGCATGTGTCAAACTCCTGACCCCGCGTTCCACTTCTCGTATGTTTCCTGGCAAACCGGCTGACGGTCGGCAGAATAGCGTTAATTGTTTGAATACATGGGGGACAAGGATGAGAAACAGTTTCGGGAAGGAGGTTCTGAATGCTCTGTGGAGTGGGTGGTCGAAATTCAAGCTTGCCCGCAAAGGGGGGCACAAACAGCAGGAGGCTTCCCATCCAGCCGTTGGGGCGATCAACTGGTACACATATGCCACGCACGCCAGCTCAGAGCTCGAAGGTGATAGCAGAAGGGCGAACGATGGTTCATGATGCCGATTGTTGTAAGTATCATGACGTCACCCACGCTGCGACCTACCTAACACACGCTCTGATGTGTTAGTGCGCCGACACACTTTCCTTTGAGGGGGACGTATCAAGAACGAATATCACGCGGGCGAGAGAGAGAGAGAGAGAGCGACAAAACGGGACGGAAAGTGACGATATTGTAAACATAGGGAGAGAAAGAGCGAGAGAAAGAGAGAGAGAGAGAATGAAAACATATAGAGATGGGGAGAAGTATCATATGAATTTTCTGTGTCCATATATATATATATATATATATATATGTATGAGTGCGTGTGTGCATCCGCCAGCGTGCTTCTGGGTGCGAAATGGGCGCGCCCCCAGGGATTTCAATTACTTGCCAGAAAAATCAGGACATTGTGACTGGTATGTCGTCTAGTTCTACGATCGTCAAAAGGCCATCTCCTCAATTCGCCGGCCCAACGGGCCAGAGGCGTGCTAAGATCTCCGGTAACTTGTTAACAATATTTCTAGTTCGCGCGCGCGGAGCGGCCCCTGGGGGCCCCCGGACGAAAAGTACCCCGGCAAGGTCCCGAGAGAAGCCCGGGAGAAGCCACCAGACCACTCCAGGGGAGGGTATTTTTCGACACCCCTCACGAGGATCGTGGCCTCCGAGGGGGGAGCCGCAATCGACTACCCCCAAGAGCCCCCCAAGAGGCCCTGGGGGCCTCCAAAACGCCGCCAAGGAGCCCCAAGAGACTCCCAAGAGGTCCCCAAGAGGCCCCCAAGAGGCCCTAAAGAGGGCTCCAGGGCCGGCGGCATGAGCGAAGCGATTAAATAAGCAAAATAATCGGATCCGGCAGGGATAGGCAAAAGCCCGCGAAGCGAAGGCGCACAACAATGCATGTGTAGGGGGGGAACTGGCCAGCCGAAGACGCGCCCCTTTACCCACCCAGCTGCACCCCAATATGGCTGCGGTTTCAACGTCGCAAAGTAGCGGCGGGAGACGGCGAGACAATCATCAGATTAACTCAACCCGCGGCAAGATGAATAGGGCTAGATGCAGCCCACTCCCGAGTCGTCAGACTTCGCCCCATCTCCACGCGCATGGGCCCCAGAGGTGCCGACCTCAGAAGACCTTTTTACGGCGCGCGAGGCGGGGCGGCAGCTGCACCCGGCAGGGCCCTTACAGCAGGCCGAAGCAGACGGACACGTCCTTCAAATATAAGAGAGAGCGTGATCCACCGCCGCTTTACTGTTGAAAACTGCCAACCTTTTCCTCCAGAACCCGGGGGTCTCCCCCCCCCCCCCCCTCCGAAAATCCCCCCCCCCTGCCGGAACCCCTCCCCCCCCCCCGCCCCCTCCCTCCCGGCAGAAACCCCCCCCTCCCTAACCCCTCCCCCCCCCCTCCCCCTCGAAAGCCGGGGGGGGTCACTACCGGTTCGAACCCCTCCCCCCCCCCCCCCCCTCCGGATCCGGAAAACCGGGGGGGGTCACTACCGGTTGGACCCCCCCCCCCCTCGAAAACCGGAGGGGGTCACTACCGGTTCGACCCCCCCCCCACGCACCGCCAGCAAACGACTCCCGGTCCCTACCACCGCTCGCATCACATCCCCCACTGTTGTTCCCAGCACCACTGTCCTCACCACCACTGTCCCCACTGGTTCCACCACCGTCCCTATTGTCCCCACCAATGCCCCCACCACTGTCGCACTGTCCCCACTGTTCCCACAACTGTTCCCACCACGGTTCCACTCTCCCCACTGTCTCCACGGACCCAACCACTGCCTATCCCCATTGTCCCCACTGTCCCACTGACTCCTCCGCTGTCCCACTTAGCTGTCCCACTGTTACCACCACTGTCCCCACTGTCCCCACCACTGTCCCCACTGTACCTCTGTCCCATTGTCCCACCGCCGTCCTCGCCACCGCCATTACCAGTGTCTCCACCACCATTGTACCCTCCACTGTCCCAGTGTTTCCACCTCATTCCCACTGTCCCCACACCACTGTCCCCACCACCACCGTTCCCACCACTGTCCACTGTCCCCCCTGTTCCCACCATTGTCCCCACCACTGTCCCCACCACTACCGTCCCCACCACTGTCCCACTGTCCCCCCGCTGTCCCCACCACTGTCCCGCTGTCCCCTCACCACTGTCCCCACCAACACCGTCCCCACCACTGTCCGCACCCCCACTCGGTTTTCGAGGGGGGGGGGGTTCGAACCGGTAGTGACCCCCCCCCCTTTTCATGATGAGCTGGGGGGGGGGGGGGAGGGACCCCCCCCGGTTTTCCGGAGGGGGGGGGGGGGGGAGGGGTTCGAACCGGTAGTGACCCCCCCCGGTTTTCCGCCAGCAGCGGTAGAACACGCTCTTTCAAATATAACGGCGCGCCAGCCCATAGTCATGTTCTTCGCCAGGGATTGCGACATGATCCACTGGACCATGCAGGTACAAGGCAACAAACGGCCCAGCCGAACATTCCTCTCACGGTCGAATCCGCGATGACGCGCGGCTCAGCCGCACAATCATTTGTTTTCAGAAGCCAATGCAACCATTCCTTTCCTGCAGCCGATTTTCCCGACTGAGCATGATATAGCGCCCCTTCCCTTTGCCTTTGCGATTCCAATCGCGTTCGAGGGGGCGGCGTCTCTGACTGTGATCGCGATGATTCCACCACCGCCACTTCCTCTTCCGCGTTTCGCAAGTGCAATAGCCCGAGCCCGCGTTAAGATGCCGGATCGCGCCCCAAGTCTCGCGCTTGGTCAACATCGCACCCCCTCTGAATCTCATGTCCTGCGCGGCGCTGCATTGAGGACGCCACGGATGCGCAAGCTAATGGACGTCCGCCAAGATCGCCTCGTTGCCGACTCGGACGCAACCAATGCGCCTGACTACTGGCGGCGGTGATTCGCCAGAACGGCCAGGAGCCGGTCTTTCCGGCACTGGCGGGCCGTTCGGGCGACGAGCGGGCGGCGCAAATGGGGGGGCCAATGGCCACGGGACAGGCGCTGGACCACGGTTTGAACCAACTGTCCCACCAGGAGCAGGGCCAGTTTCCATCGCAGCATTTGCACAAGGAGCTTCGCCGCTGACTAAGTCAGCGACGGCCCCCAGCACGGGCATGCCGATGGGGATGGCAGCAACGCCTCGGCGCGGCGAGTTCTGTCACGCCGCCAGTTGAACCGGCAGCGTCATCCACGCCCATTGAACCCACATGTTTGGCTAAGCCGGCAATGGGTCTCCCGCCTCCCCTGCATGCGCGGGCGGTGCCTTAGGCGATCATTGCAGCTTGCTCGTCATCCTGTTGGTGAGACATCGGATTTGTATCGCAGTCGCTCTAGTCGCTTTCTCGCTGCGTTCTAGCCGCGTTCCGCTCGCTTTCTAGTCGCGTTCCTGTCGCGCCCTGGTACGACTCGAATTCTAATCGCGCTCTGGTTCCAGGGCTGTTTCGGGATGGGGCGAGCAGCGCTGGGGGCCTTTACGGGGGGGGGGGGGGGGCAGCAGTGGGGGGCGCCGCGCGCGGGGCGAGCAAAAAAAAGGCCCGCGCCCGCCCAAAATCCCAAACCTACAAGAACGAGCCCGAAAGCTTCAAAAACTTCAGTCGAGATTCCTGAGGGGCCACGAAACGCACGAGGGTCGCGCCTCACTGACCAGCGACTGGGCGCTCATCGTCGCCCACATCGTCAATCTAGCCATAAGCAACATCATAACCACCGCCAACATCGGCATCACCGCGCACATGACTATCAACATCATCACTAAACCAACCACCAACATCAACATCAACATCACCATGA